TGTTGTACTTGTGACAAAGCAGCACTGGAGGTAAGATGTTCCACCCTTCTCCCAGGTATCAAAATAAAACGCAATGGACGAAAAGGGGGGAAAGCAACCCAGTATGGCAGATGGAGGGGACCTGTGCTCCACACAAACAGTAAACACTAAGCCACAAAGGTCTCACAACAAGCAGGGCATCTACTGTCTCATGGCAGCAGGACATAAAACTGCCTTTGCTGCTCCTTATCCATTTCCACTGGGTGTACTTGGTTTCCAGACTCCATTAATCATTCTGTTTTGCAAACGTTTAACCTTCACACACGCACGCACACACACACACAGACACACAAAACCGTAACATGGAGTTGGGAATGACAGATTTGTGTGTGTTGAGGAAGCACCTAATTCAGACGTCTTTCAAAGGACAGCTCTTGATTTATATTACACAGATTCCCTAGGAGAGCTGCAATCTAGCTCTTCAAGGAAGGGGCCTGGGAAACAGGAGACATGGACCACTTTTACTTCTCCCTCACTGATTCACGGAGCCAGCCTGAAAAAGTCACTTGTTCCTGTAATGCCTCAGTTTCATGCTGACACCACTGTGACATCACTGTGAACTGCTACATAGTTCATAATAATTACAAAAGGGGCATTATGAAGTCACTCAGCTCAGAGGCTGAAGCTTGCAAACTGCTGTCAGCCTCTGATTGTGACAGTAGTGCTCTTGTGCTGGGTACCATCCAGCTACAATGCACCTACCCTGAGAAGTCTGTGAAATAAGACATGCACATAGGAAAATGCATGAAGAGTTTGTCCATGTCAGCATGGCAAACCAGTGGCACACAGAGGAATGGAGCTACGGCTTCTATGTCTTGACCAGTCACACTGCCTATGAAATGCAAGGGGTTACTCCCCGAGTACTCCAGGTAAGTGGCTTGCACAGTACTAATGCTTCAGTTTTAGTGAACTGTTCTGTGATCTACTTGTGTTGCTCTCAGGCCATACAACCCCCTTTCAGCCCCATGGAAACAGATTTGCCCCCAACCCCACAATTTTTTAAGCTGGATCAGGAGACCAGATCTGGTTCTGATCAAGGTCCTGCAAACAGCTGGGTCGGTACAACTGAGAGCTGGCGCTGGGCTCCAAGGGGAGTGACTGGCACTGTCACCAAAGTACCATCTAATAAAAGCATGGCCTGTTAGGGCCCAAGTCAGATCCCTTGGCATTGCTCAGAACAAAGCCAGAGCATATATACGACTCCGTATGGAGACATCATCCCTACATTAATGGGACCACTACCACAGAGAGGGAATTCTGCAGCAGTCAAGTACCACATTAGCACACTCAGCATGGGCCATTAGCCACCTTTCTCCACTGTTCACTACTTGCCCCTTCTCAGCCCAAATGTTTATTCTATCAGAAGGCACAAAAGGGACATGAAACCTAAAGTTTCTCATTTTGAACTACCTAAGACTAGTACTTAACTACAGCTGTCCTCACACATGTGCTCTGTAAAGGGATGCAGGCTTTTAGGTCTTTATTGTTCTTAAAAAAGCCTTCTGGTGGTGATGTGCTTCATTACACATTGGGAAACACCTGCTGTTGTAGGAGAAACTGACCAAGTCACAAATCTCTAGATCTTGGTTTTCCATCAGTAAACTTGGTATCCATTTGGAAGAGGGCTGTAAGGCTTAGTGTGTTAGCCAATAGAGAGATGATTGCACAGTATCACCTTTGCTTTGCAAGTTCTGCTGATCAGCTGAGCTGTAGCAACTGCACAAGCTCCTGACCTGGTTAAAATGCTTTCGTGTTTGCGACCTTCCTGGCACCAGCGTGTTTTTCAGAGTGGAGAGAACAGGGAGATATTTCAGTTATATATTGCAATTTTATATTGTATAATACAAGCATTGTATCAAGCATTTGTTTTTGGGGAGGAGGGGGGGATGAGGCTATAAGACAAGAAGACTCAGTGAAGCAGAAAGCCATGGGTCCCCACATGGCTACATAGCCTCCATCTGCTAAGCACAGGCATGCAGTGAGGCTTCGAGTGCAGCTTCTAAACTGGGAACTGGGAAGGAACCATACCACAGGGCTGAGCATAGGACGGGCTGCAGAGAGTAAAGATTACTAAAAAGGTGGCAGCTTGGCCATGTTATAATAACCAATTGGACTTTGTTTCAGAAACTTGATGGTTGAGGGACCTGCACCCCCTCCATCCCCTATTCCCAGAAGTCTGTCTCTAGACACTGTCGTCAATCTCAGAGTTCATTTCCTGGTTAAACAAACAGCAATTAAGTAATACAAGACAGGCAACACTTAGAGACACTGTCTCAAACTCGCCCTAGACAGGCCACGTGACCCTGGGGTCCCAGTGCTTTGTCTCTTCGGTAAGACATATTAATCATATGAGGAATTACAGAATGCGACAATGTGTGTATGCAAAGGGAATATGGACCTGGCCTGCTGGGGAAACGCACTCTGCTTCTTGGCACTGTGGAGCCCGGCTTGTCCACAGAGGATGTGTTGGTCAGCCAGCACCGGGCCAAGTGATCCAGAAAGAAACATACCCCCTTTCATATGCTCTGCTATGCCTATGTAGAGAAAATGAGAGAGAACAGAAAACTCCATGCCTCTAGTGTGTTCCTCCAGCAGCTGAGACAATCAGGAGAGACACATCATCACCTTCAAGAGGTGTTTACAAAGTGGAACCAGGGGAAAGGGGCAATCAAATATTTGCTCCCAGCAGGAAAGTGAAACTAATGAAAAAATGTCAGATCTTTCTAGTGCACTCTGTTAAACTGCAGTGTAGTGTAGTTCTCCAAAAGTAAGTGATTCAGAGCATGCTGTTTGGCATCGGTCAGCTAAAAGGCACAAAGCACTAGCGGACATATCCTCAGACTCCTGGTGCTAAAGGAGATATGGATTATACATCTGCGACTGATTAATAGATCACACTCTGTATTTCCTTTGGCTCTTGCAATCATTAGCTGCCTCCCAGTAAAAGTACACAGAAATAAACTAAAGATGAAAGCAAGTCATTGTGTCACTGTTTATTTTCTACACATGAAGCTTCATTCATTTCACCCATCATCATCAGGGTTCAAGGACTTTTTCACTCATATTCACTACTGATTGGATCATAATCCTCCTTGGGGTCCATCAACTCCAGGGTGAACACTCAGAGCAGCACGGGATCTTTTGTCTCCTCATGGAAACAGAAGCTTTTCCTTTGCTTATATGTGCAGTCAACACTGACATCTATTTGGAACATGCTTTGACTGGCCCTTGGTTCCTCTCAAATAGGCAGTGGTAAATTCACTTGTTGGTGCTTGAATTCCTTGCTTTTGTGATGAATACCTGAAGTTATTAAAACTGGAAGAATCTTAAAAATGCAACTTCTGTTCCATCACATATTCATCTTTTAATTTACAGGTGTTGGGCAGTGAAATTGCTTTGATTATGTTTCATGAACATGAACATGATTATGTTACTGGGTTTTTTACACTCCAAGTATCCACATGACTGAATTTCAGCTTCCAGCACTTCAGGGAATGTTTAATTCTTTCCTATACGGTTTGCAGCTTACTGCAGAGAGAATGAGCCAAAAACTTTGAGAGGGGAAGAAAATCCTGAAATCCAGAAGTTGATCCCTCTATGGAGACAAAAGGTGACCGATGGTTCACCATGATGATGGAATAGGACTTTGAGCAACTCAGATACTTCTGCCGTGTGCCAGAACACCTGCATCCCAAGGGAATGCTAAGGAGGAGGGACAGAGAGCAAAAAGTCTATAATGCGTTTAGCTTGAACTGGCTTAGACATTTTTTAATGCTTAGATCTAATATGTAAATCCTGGTTGTGTATCTGATCTATCAAGTGTGATTTGGGAAGTCAGCACTTGTGGGAAGCTGAATTTGGGTTTGGGGTCCTATCGATACTTTTTATGAGGGGTCCCAATTAAGCCACATGTTCCCTGATCCCTAGCAGCCCCCTCATGCAGAACTTGTGGAGGAAATATGGCTACAAACTTCCCAGCTGACTTATACCAAGGGACTGCATCATATCTCAGCAAGTTCCAGTCTCCCCTGAGTAGGCTTTCAGAAGCAGATCTGCATACCCGGTCTGGCAAACAATGTCGCAAAGTCTTGCTGCTGAACTCATCTCCCTTGAGTCCACTTTAGGTCATTGAGGGCTGCTTTTCTTTACTACTGCTAAACTATTGTTTTAGTTCCCTACTCCACCACTGCTAAATAAGTCGAATTTTCCCCAGCAGATTTGTTTCAGCAAATATTTCCATGCGTTGGTCATTTCTTGCCATAAGGATGAGTCATGAAATAGGAGCAAAATACCTCAATTAGCCACCTGCACCTCAGAGCCATACACTTTGCTTCTTTCACAATTTATCGTGTCTTCCGAGATGCCTACCAGTTAAGTAGATGCCACTGAGATTTCAAACAATGGTGTCTGCTGGAGTACTGAACTGTTTGCTTTCTGGAGATATTTATGGCCATTTAGCTTAGACAGTTTGTTTAGCATGCAATAAAGCCCTCTGCCCCATTTGCTTTCACAGGTCTCACAGCAGTCAGAACAGTTTGGAATATGACCATTTTCATAAAGAACTGCCTTTTCCATGCAATTAAGAGTACTAAATACATGGTATGAACCTCAACAGCCGTGAAGCTAGTCTATTCAAAGCTAAGCACTTTTTGCTTCTTTGACAAATATTGGACCTGTGAAAATCAAACAGAAAATATCTCTCCTTCTTCAATAAGAACATGTTTTTTAAACTTGACATCTGCCTTAGCAGCTATTATATTGCACTATATTACTACTATTTGAATTGCAGAAACACCCTGTCATGGAAAGGACTCCATGATGCCAGACACTGAACAACAAAGAATAAAAGCCTGGTCACTATTTTTACTGAAGGAATATGTCAGATCAAAGTGCTCTCTAACACTGCTTTACTTCTTGGAATGAGACATCTCTTAATTGTCTCTGTTTTTTGCTGTTGACAGAAAGAAGGCCAGTCCAGAGCTTACCTTATTGCCCAGGAGCTGATGTCTTCAGAAAAAGTGTGAGTTCATTGTCACAACCTATCTGTTGCTCTCCTAAACCTGAAGCTATGCAATCCACCCTTCAACACTGGTTTGATGGCAATTAATAAAAGTTTGTCTCTTTCTCCAGATACGTGGAGATGCTCCAGCTGTTACGTACGGTAAGTAAATCATTTTAATCATTGAAACCTAACTTCCCTTTTACTTACCTGCAATTTAGAAGACAAAAAAGCATTGGAGGGACCCAGGTGAATTTGAGGAGGAATGGCTTACTGTGAACCATTGCAAAGGAATATGTCTGCCACTAATCTGCTCTTGCTACAGATCCGCAAATCTAGCATTTGTGATTCACAGAGAAAACAGTTGGCCAACAGTACTCGCTGGGGCTCTGAGACTGGTGTAAGATGCAGAATAAGCCTAGTGCAGAGAAGGAGATGGTGATAAAGAGGGGTGAACCCTCTGTCTTCGGAGAGAGACAGATACGAGCAGCGCTATGAAACATGGGGATTTGGTTTGAATGGATTCACTCTCCTTCCTTCTAAGCTTCTTTCTTCTGATAATGCAGCATTAGTGATATCCAGTGTGGCCTGGATGTCCACACTGTGACACAGATAGTCACCATGGGCAAAATACAGACTCTGGTGTCAGAAACTCATAAGGGAACATACACAAAGACTCACTTGTAGTGCCTGATAGAGTGCTCCTGTATGGTATAAACCCACTGGTGGCTTTGTCCCAGAACACTCTGTCTCCCTGCTTCCCTGGAGACTGGTACACAGCTCAGGTAGCCTTGCTCTCACCATCTTTTTTGTCTGTTGGTTGCAAGGCAGTAGGGAGTAATAGCCACACACAAAGCATGCCCACTGCTGCTTGGAAAGAAATTCCCTTTGAGAAGTCAAAGAGCAGCCCCAGGTTGTCCTTGGAGGGCACCCCAAACCCTAGCAGTGGACAGGAACTCTGATGGAGAGAAAAGTAGTGAGGTCAGCATTGTATTGCTGCCTGCTCATTGTGCCTCTCTAGCAAGCTGCCAAAGCTTAAGAGCCTTCTGAGGCTTGGGCAGCAGAGCCAGGAGAGCAGCTTTAATCTGACAAACACCTTGCAGATGATTTCATTTCAACAAATCAGAAAATGCCAAGATGGTCAGCTGGGAACCAAACACTTTAATGGACTTAGCTGTTTAGCCGGAGTCTACCAATATTTTGATAAATTGGTAATAACCTGCCTAGCCATTTGCCTCATCTATCCTGGCTTTCTTTTGACTTCTGCACAGCCAAACACATTATTTGACACTAGTGAGACACAGCTGTAGTTACCCATTGTCCTCTGGGGAAGCCAGGGTGGTTTATTCACCTGTGGACTACAGAGCTTCTGATCATTAAAAATATCCAAAAGTATCATCAAGAAAAAAAAAAGAGAAAAGCCTCTTCCAGCTTCTAAGTCAAAACAGGAGGGAAATATACACACAGGAAATTACCATGCACAGAGAGTATTAGCCACTCCGCGTCTTCATTAGATGCATACAATTAAAACATTCTTAATGTATTTAATTTTTCATTTCCTAGTACATTTGTACTTTGGTACATTATGGACATCATGTAAATACAGGGCTGAACTAGACTGTGTGTACAGTGCACTGTATTTAGTGGAGGTGTCTAGGAGAGGCCTCTCCTTTGCATTATATCCTAGGATTTCCCTGTACCTCTAGGAGATAAAAATGAGTCACTGACATGGCCTGAAAAATTTTCAATATGTAGATCCAAATCTTGCAATGCACTTCGGGGCCTTTAGCCACAGCATGAATGGCTGCACACCCTCATGACTACTATAGCCTCATGTTACTGTCAGGCTGCCTTGCCCATGCTGTTGCTGGGCCAGGAAAGCGATGCTTCAAGACCTTCCCAGTCCTTTCAGGACTTACTTTGCCCTTTTCTCCTTCCTCTGGGAGTTTAGAAACATGTATGGATCCACATGCCTGCTGCTTCCCTCCAGATGGATGGACTCCAAACTGTTGGTAAACCCTAATGAAAGGAATCTTCATAAAAATTACACCTCATAGGTTAGTTAGGGAAAAACTCCACTTCATTGCTAATTTTATCGGCTGGGGGGGGCCGGGGTTGACTCAAAGACATGAGGTCATGAAAACAGAGTTTTCCTGGCTTGACTCAAAAACGTAACTACTCTCTGCTCTCCTACTGGGAAAATCAGACACTTTCTAAGCAGAAATGTTTATCACAGAAAATAAGTAACACTACCTGGAGTTTGGCCTGCCAGTCCTGGATTTCAGGTTTTAAGGCATGAGGGAAATTGGCTCTGTTTTAATCATAATTATTGGGTTTGGATCAGCTGGTTAACTTATCAGGGAAAAGATACCGGTAATAGCACTCATATGACTGGGCAAGTTCTTCTATTTCTGTTAGTCATCAATTTTAACTGGAAGCAATTGTTTGGTTTTTATATATGTTTCAGTCCTGTAATGGAATATTCCACTGAATCCTATTTTGCTGGGATTTTGTTTCCCTGCCTGACCATCCCACTGGAGTGGATAATGCTCATTATTTCCCTAATTATGAAAGTCAGAGCACCAAAAGAGGAGTTAAAATTCCAAGTGAAAATAAGAGATGAGCCTAAAGTAAACCTTTGAGTGAATGCATTGGTTTGCAAAGTTAAGCCACTTACAAGTTGTGAAATGTCAGAATGACTGTAACCATGCACTCTTCAATTTCCCTGTCCCAGTTCCCGTTGTCTCAAGTTAGAAAGTTCAGACAGATCTGCATTAATTTTATGATGAGATTTTGGGTTCACAATTTTGATTAATGATTTTCTTCTGCAGTGGAAAAGTATCCTTCTTGCCTCATCACAAAATGCATACACTCCTTTAAGGGCTACTAGAGGCTGTTTTCAGCAGAGTCAACACGCAAGTTTCTCAAGATTTGAGAATAATTTGAGAGATAATTGAGAATAATAATTGAGAGATAATTTGAGAGATAATTGTTTCTATGAGTTGGCTTTCTAAGTAGTGAGGATGTATGAATGGCACCTGGGTTAGAGACTGAGGAAGAAGAGAGGAACAGCAAGTCTGTTTTCACACTTGACTGCTAGTTCAGGCACTCCTTAGTTTAGAAGAGATCAAAAATCTTTGTGGGAACAGGATCAGAGGGTTCATTTCTTGTTTTATTGTGTTAGCCCTAGCATACCGCATCTCTACTGCTATAGGCTGATGTCTGCATGATAGGTACCTACTGCAGTGGCGTTCAGAAATAATGTGCAGGTTTCTCTGTTGCAATCATGTTCAATCTAGAAAGCCACAGTCCCAGCACTGTTACCTTTCCCACCCCAACTACTGCTGGATCTTTATATTCACCTGTTGTCCAGTGTATTATTCCCTAAGTCTAGAGAAATCATTACCATTTTTACAACATGTAAGTCCCTCAGACTACAGGGGTATTATTACCTAACAGGCTTTTCACTACTGTCATAGTGCAAAAAGTTACAATGAACTAATTACTCCTTGTTGTGTGTTTGAATAGCATTAGGAATAGTCACATCAGTAAAAAATTGTGCTTCGCTGTTGACACAGATCCCACTGGCAGATGTCACAAGCAACCACCAGTGACCACAAAGTCACCAAACTGCCCTCAAGGTACAACACCCCATTCATAGCCAGTCAGGACCACAGGCTTCTTCAACAACGTATCTCAGCTCAGGCAAATGTTTCTCTCTGTTCCCCATCACCAGCTTTCCCAAGAAAACAGTTTCTAAATGCTCATCTTCAAGCCTTGAGTCTCATCTTTTTATATAAACTCACATGTTGGTAAGAAAGGCAAGGAACTAAACCACACCCTAGCTCCTTTTAGAAAGGAAAAAATGGCTTTTCTTAAGCCTGCAGTAGGAACAATTTCCCATCTCATTTCCAGGCTTGGCTGGAGCTGCTATTCATTCAGCATAGCAGAATCTGTTTGGCCTTTCAGCGGAGACTTTAATAAATTGATTGATTGCCAGAACGATGACATTTCCATACACCCACTCTGCTATTGAACTGAAGGAGTGGAAACATTGTGTTAGCTCACAAACTCGGTATCAGTTGGTGTGGCAGCAGTGATAATAATCTAGAGGGTTTGCTATTATTTGCCCTACTCAAAGGTAATGCAATTCTCTGGAGCAGGGAGTTAAGAACTAATTCTGGACTGAGCATATGAGACTGGCAGGGCCTTGCAGTCCAAGTCCCTGATCTCTGGGTACTCACAATTTAGTTTTGCAAAGTTGATTAGTCTTTGTATTTCCTTCAGGATCATTTAATCCTCAAACTTTGTCATTCTTTTCTCCTATTTTTCTTCCCCAGTAATTCAGGCTGCCCGGGTCATAAGTGCTTGCTCCTGAACAAAAATGCTGCAGGTTGCTTTCTCAGCCTAATGCTTCATACATCACTTTTGAGGACCAAAAGTCTGGTTTATTTGCTTCTCTTCAGCTGACTTTACTAGATGTGCACAAATCAAACGCAGTGTGACTCAGACTGTCTCAGGATCCCAGTCTGTATGGGATCAAGCATTTGCTTGATAGTGTACCATGTTCACATTTATTTTGTCTTTGGCTTTTGTACATAAAATCCCCTTTTTTGTGCATAAAACCTTTTGAACCCATTATTATTTCCGAGGCATCTACTGAATTAAGGTACCAAGAAGGACAGTTCTGCACTGAAAACACACGAGCCTCAACATTTCCTTGTTCAAAGAAAGCTGATCCTGTTTCCTGGTTTGCATTTTCCTCGTAACAATGGGCCACAGTTCTTAGAAACACGAAGACCCAGATTTATGCTTCCTCAGCATTTGAAAATGTGGATATAAATATGATATGAATAGATAAAACACGTGCTGGTTCTCCAGCCTTTGGAGCAGTTTGGGATCCAACCCTGCACTGGGCATCCCAAGGCTTCTGACTGCAAAATAAATCTTAGGAAATAAAAAAGAACAAAATCATCTTAGTGCTCAAGTCAGTAACTCAAAGGTACCTAAATGCAGATTATCATGAAGTCAGGCTCACTGGTTAAACTCTACTTTCAGAATTCTTGTGAGCAGCGTGTTCTCAAGAACAAAAACATCTGATTTAGGAGCCACTATTACATGTTAGACAAAACAGAACTCCATCTTTCTAATTATTTACACTT